TCAAAAGAGAAGACATGAGGGACTGGCAGGAGGCGTAGTGGTCAAGGTGTTGGACTTCCACATGGCTGACTACAGTTCAAGCCTTTGGACTCAGAGCCTTGAAACTCACTCTGGGTGCATGTGCATGTGTGCCTAAAATCCCGAGAGGAGAATGGAGGAGAAGGGATTATGGCATGGCCGTCCCCCCTGGGGAGTGATTTCTCACTTTCTCTCTCTATCTCTCTGGCGAGTGCATGTGCCCTACAGCAGAGAGAGAGAGAGACAGAGACAGAGACAGAGAGAAGGACACAAGAAGCAGGATATGTGGGATTATTGGGGGTGAGAACAAACCAAAAAGGCTACTCTGTTGGATCATGTGAAATTTCCCACAAGTGGAGACTGTCTTCTGTGTGTGAATTACCTGCAGACTGAATAAGAAAGAACTTCTTGTCCCAGTCATTAAGCAAATCAAACAGAAATCTCCCCGGTGCTAAATACGTATTATATCACGATTTACTGATCAGTTTCTCAGCCAATTTTCTCAAAGCTCAATATCAGTACAAAAGGCAAAGCAATAAGAGCATCTGAAAACCATCAATGATTATGGTAGAATCCTGAATTTTACCATCCTCCTTCTGATTACCCCAGTACAGTAGATGCAACACAGTCTTGTGTCATCATCTGAGATAAAGATGAAGAACTGAAGGGCAAACAAGTGACTCACTTTAATGGATTTGCTTCAGACAAGAGAAACCTGTAATTTCTCTTAGGCGTGCTTGACAGACCCATTGTGGAGTGAATCACAGACTTACACAAGCCTTGAAACTGTGGGCAGCATTACAGTTCTCAGACTGACTTCTGGCAACAGGCAGTTTGGTTCTCACTGGGGCTTCCCGGACTTCCCTTTTTAAAAATTGGAGAAGATGGATTTCAGTCCCTGAAAGGGACTGCAAGAGGTTGGGGGGAGCCAGCGTGGTACTTGCGATGGTGGGGTACAATGGCCAGGAGCTTGGCGTTGACCTTCCAGCTGGGTGATTCACCATCTCTGGGCTGCTAGATCCACTTCCTGGGTGCCGTGAGTACATGTACCATATCAACACCTTTTTTCCTGTTGGAGAGAGAAATGATTATTTTTGCACATGTTTTAGAATGGGGTAAATGTGTGATTTGTGATGGTATTTTCTGGAAAGTGTGATTCTACAGGAACCTTCCCTAACATTATTTAGAAATTGGCTAGCTCAGTTTTGGAGTATTTCCTAAGCCTTTTTTAATATTTATTTTTCTTTAAGAATCATTTGTGGGGCTCTGGTTGCTCTCTCCTAGGAGTGAAAATGCAAAGCAACCTGTCAGACAATTAGACTCACTGTCTCCATATTATCCCCTGGGACAATATTTCAATCTCCTTTCTTTAGACTGAATGTAAATCTGGATTTTCACAAAAGCATTCTTTTGTAGTTCGTTCTTTTAGTGAGACTGACAAAACTGTCTTTACATTACTTAAAAGGAAACATTTCCTCCAGCTACTGGTAAAACCTTCCTGCAAAGGCTTCTCTCCTTATTTGAGGGGCTAAAAATATGTTAATGAATGTTATATTCTGAGGACACTTTTGGAAACATCTTTAGGTGCTTTTTTTTAAATTTCAGGACTATAGTGAGTTTTCTTTATGAAGCAGAGCAATTGCTAGGTCTATCAATTTCTTTAAAAATTATGTAACTATTGTGCTCTTGAAAAAAGTCATGATGTATTCTTGCATGGAGAAATGTAGAAAAATACATTATGACTTTTCTGATGACCTAATATCGATATAGTTGGTGCGATGTCTGGCGTGCCTTCCAACTTTGAAATGAGGTGATTTTGAAATCCATCAGACTCCAGTTCTCAGAAGACATACTAAACGATGAAGAGATTGGCTGGAAGCCATCTAAAATAGCCAAGGATGAGATGATTTTATTCTAATAAATCTTTCATATCTTTCTTTCCCCCAAGGCTCTGTACGAAGCACTTCATCCATGGTTAGGGAAAACTGCTGAGTGACTGAATAGATTCTATTACCGAGGCTGATAAA